GGGGGGTGGCTCGCGGGGGCATAAAGGATGTTGGAACACAGTAAAGCACAGCCATGCAGACCATGCAGACCATGCAGACCACACAGACCGCAGCGAAAAGCAAGTACGAGCGCGGACGCGACACCATCTTTGGGCGGGGATTGCAGGCAGCCACGGCAGACCGTGACGCGGTGATTGAGTCAGAGGCAGAGGCAGACAGCAGCGCAGCGGCTCGCATCGCAAAGCTTCAGGCAGACGGGGAGGCGCTGGCCGTCGTGTTTAAGCTTTTTCCAGCAGAGGCGCGTGTGAAAATCTGCAGGCAGGCCATGGCAGAATCAAAGGCAACTTTTGAGGAGTTTGTGGGCCCCTTGCTGACTGAAGAGGCCCCAGCAGAGATGCTCGAGGTGTTCAGTGCGTTGTGCCAGCAGTTTGTACGGGACGCGAGAGCGGAGGTGGGGCAGGGCGATGCGGCAGGCACATAGGCAAAAAAAACTTGTGGTTAGGGTAACAGATGCTGGCCGTAATCGAATACCCGTTCCGCACCAGCGCGGCAGCCCGCGGGCACATGGCTGCTTACTACGCGCGGCAGCGAGAGGACCCTGAATATGTGGCCCAGAACCGCGAGCGCGCACGGCGCTGGAAAGAGCAGAACCGCGAGCGCGCGCGCGAAAGCAACCGGCTGCGCATGCGCCGCCTGCGGCTGGAGCAGCGGCTGGCAGCGGGCGACGAGTGCACGGCCCCAGGGCCCGAGCTGCTGCCGCCGCGCCAGCGCAGCTCCAAGTACGTCAAGCTGGTGGCGCCGCCAGAGCCAGAGGAGGGGGCATAAAGCGCGTTCGAGTACCCACAGAATAAACCGGCCCACAGAGAAAATGCCTGATTACGCCAGCTACGCCCGCATCAACGCAAGTGAGGCCGCCGAGGCCCAGGTCAGGGTGGTCGACCAGCCTTACAGAGTCAACGGCTGCGAGCTGCACTTGGTGACCGCGTGGCTGGCGTGTGAGGAGGCCGACACGCGCTTTGCCTTCGCGATCAAGGGCGCCCGGGCCGGCGCGCGCCAGGCGCCCTGGGGCGCCTTGGGCCTGGTCATCAGCGGCGAGTGGAAGGCCGTGGTGCGGGGCATCGAGAAACAGGCCGCCATGTTCCTAGCCAGGGAGCATCCAAACACAACTTTCCGCTCGGGCTTCAAGGTCCTGGCGCGCGCCGGCGAGCTGTTTGAGGTGCAGCACGCCGCTGAGGGCAAGGGGCCCAAGGCGGGCATCAAGGCCGGCGACACGCTGGACGTGACCGTGGCCTGCGACGGCCTGTGGGTGGACCCCGCGCGTCGGACAGGGCACGTGCGCTGGAAGTTTGTGGCAGCGAGCGTGACCGGCAGCCGGGCGGTTGAGGAGGCCAAGGCTTTCGGCGCCTTTGCGTTCCTTGACGACTGAGCTCACACAAACACGTACTCGGCCAGCACCTTGTCCGTGATGGAGGCCGGCAGCTTGACCTGCTGTTGCCGCTGCAGCTCGCCGGTCGAGCGGTACAGCAGGGCGTCTGCGTGCGTGCCGCTGCTGATCTTGGTGTCTTCTTCAGAAAGCACGAGGGGGCCGCCCAAGGGCGGGCCGTCGGCCTGTCCCTGGCCCCGCAGCAGCCGGAGGAAGACGGCGCCCCGCGCTTTCCTGGCGACCCAGCCGGCCGTCACGTAGCCGGTCTTGCCGCTGCGCCTGGGCTGTTTGACCGACAGGCGCTCGGGCCCCTCGGGCTCGCCCTCGGCATCCAGCACCACAAACTCGCCCGCCTTCAGGTCCAGCTCCTGCAGCGTGCGCCTCTCCTTGCGCTCGCGGGTCTGGCGGGGCGCCGCCCTGCCCTGCAGCGCCGGCTCGTCCACAGCGATGCCCTCTTTGCGGCTGGTGATCTTTTTGCGGGCCTTCTCTTGCTTGGCGGGTGTCTTGTCCACTGACAGGTCCTGGGCCCCCTCCCCTGCTGGCTGCAGCTCGTTGGGCTTGAAGCGCCGCGTCAGCCCTTCCACCAAGTACTTGTAGCCGTCTCGGTCCTTGACCGCGTACACCTTGAGGCTCCACCTGGGCTTGGTGCCCTTGGTGAAGGTGCTGGCGTTCTCCAGGATGCGCACACGCGCGCCGGGGGCGTACTTCTGCTGGGCGTCGTCGATCGCCTCGTTCAGCTTGACCTCCCTCGAGTAGCGCTCCAGCTGTTCGCTCTCGGGCGCCGCCCAGGCCTGGTTGGGGGTGACGCCCAGGGTGCGGTGCACCGTGTCGTTGTAATCGACGACGATGTCAGGGATGAACTTGAGCCAGTCGCCCTCCACACCAGCCTCCACGTAGCGCATCTCCAGCTGCCGCTTCAGGGTGCCCACCAGCCTGTCAAGGATGCCGAGGCGGTCTGAATCGTGGGAGATGTGATCGTCCTTGGCAATGTCGGTGTACACCGCGATGCCCAGCGCCTCGTTGAAGGCCGCAAACTGCTTGGCCGCAAACTCATCGTCGGCCATCACCATCTTGACGCGCGTCTGCAGGGCCTTGACGCTGCTCACGCCGACCGCCCTCAAGAACGCCTCGTACTGGCCGAGGATGTCGGCCATGGTCCTGGCTTTCAGGGGGTACAGCCAGGCCTTGCGGCTCAGGATGTCGACCGCCAGCAGCGCCTGGGCGCAGCCCTTGTTGCCCCTGCGTTTGGCGAAGCCAAAGTGCACCACGTCCAGCTGGAAGCTGCGGGGCTGCGCCGTGATCTTGTAGTTCAGCTCCGCGGGGCGCTTGTCCACGCCCTTGAAAACCTGCCTCAGGTCAGACTGGGCAAAGTATTCATCCAGCACCTTGCCTGGGATGCCCTGCCCCCTCAGCTCCTGCTGCAGTTTGGTCTTTCCGAGGTACTTGAGGCGTGGGGCCTTCTCCAGCAAGCCCTGCAGCTTCTCCATTTACCCCTAGTGCAGATACTTGCTGACAAAGGCCAGCCTGGCCAGCTCCGTGAGGCGGTCGAGGCGCGACGCCACGTGGCGCAGCACGACGTCGCGGGGGCTGGCGCTGGACAGCGTGTCGACGCGCAGCACCAGCGTGTTGTCCGGCATGTCGTCCAGGGGCGCCAGGACGGCGTGCGTGATGTGCACGTCCAGCTGGTTGAGAGAGCGCTCTGCAATCTCGACGGCAAACTGGGAGTCGGAGAGGGGGATGTATGTGTAGAAGTCGAAGGGGGTCTGCTGGATGGGGATGGTGGCCAGCACGCGTGTGGGCTGCACGCGCCCCGCCTGCGCCACGCAGTTCTGCGCCGACAGGGACGTGATGCCGTCCACCGTAATCGCCAGCGAGCTGACCGGCGCCAGGTCCACCAGCGTGCTGGACCCAAACGCCTCCCCCTCTGGAGCGTCGCCGGGGGCGAAGCCCAGGATCTGCCAGCTGTTGTTGTCGAACGCCAGCGAGTGGTCGGTGTCAAAGAGGAAGGAAAACCCGTCTCTGTATCCCTCGTACCGCATGCTGACCCCTGGGTACTGCCGCATGGTCTCCTTGCACAGCTCCCTGTAGGTGTAGTTGCCGGGCCCCAGGGTGACGTTGTGGGCCGCGCCGGTGGCGACGTCAGTGAATGTGAAGCTGTTGTTGCGGACCGTGACCTTGGGAAAGCTGTAGAAGCAGCCAAACTGCTGCAGGTGCACGCGCAGCCGCTCGTGGGGCTGGCAGCGGATCAGGGCGGGGGGCAGCACGACGCTCCAGCGGTCCGGCGTGCCCCCTGGGCGCCGCTGGCGCGAGTCCAAGAACAGCGTCTGGCTGCGCACGGGCCGCTCCATTTCTTGCTACACTTGGCGCCGGTCAGTTTCCCGCGGCCGCGTACACCACCAGCGTCAGGGCCCACTGGCAGTTGCCGTCCAGCCCGGCCGCCAGGGCGCCGTCTATGGTGCGCAGCTGCAGGTTCAGCGTGCCGTGCTGCCAGCTGGGCACGCTCAGCACGGGCGCCGTGTGGTTGGCCTCGCCGGACAGCTGGTAGCCCTTGACCTGCGCCAGCGTGCCCGCCGGCCGGCGGCCGTGGCGCGAATCGAACACGTTGGTCGCCAGCTGGTCCGAGGAGAGGATCAGGGTTTTGTGCTCCAAGCCGGTGGGGTCGCTCAGGCTGCCGTCGGCCTCGGTGACGTATGCAGGATCCAGGTTGAACGCGCGCACGTTGACCATCCACACCGCATCGGCCGTGCACTCGATGGGATAGTTCATCACAAACAGGGCGTCGCTCTCTGTGCCGCCCACGCGGTCCACGCTCCTCAGGGTCAGCTCATACACCTGGGGCCGCGCCTTCTTGGTCCTGGCTGGGCGATGGGGGGCGGCTGCCTGCTGCTCCGCCATCGTGCTGACCGTCTCCGTGGCCAGCGACGACATTCTCAGGTGGTTTGAACTTAGCTGCGATAATTGCCTCCCACTCCTGCGTGCCCTGGCGCAGCACTTGCATGTCGGTCACCTCCACGCAGCCGTCGGGCCCCAGCTGATGCCGCAGCGGCTCAAGCACGCGTTTGTCCAGCCGCCGGGCGGCCCTTGCAAAGCCGCGCGGGTCGCTGCAGTAAACGGCCGCGATCTGCTTGGCCAGAGCGGGGGGCACGCTGGGGTAATCGCGGACGATCGCGGAGGCGCAGACGGCTTGCTCGGCGTCTGTCATCAACAGCAGGGTCTGAAATGGGGGCCGACAAAAAACAGGGGGCAGTGCAAGGCGCGCTTGGGTGTAACTAGTGTCATCTGTGACGTCAACGGGTTACGCCAATTACGTCACCTTAGTCATTGGCACGGGTGACACCGGTGACACGGGTGACATTTACTCGGTTCACGGGTGACGGCTGGTAAGCATGCCTTATCAGGAGGGGTCCTGTCAGCCGTCGGGCACGATGTAGGCGTCCCAGCCGCTGCGGTATCGCTTCGAGGGGTCCGAGGTTGTGAGGTCAACATACAGGAACCCGTGCTGGGGCTCGGTGGCGACCGCGTACGCCTCCTCAAAGGCCCCCTCCCTTTCCCTGCCCGTCGCCAGCTCCTCGACCATCTTCTCCACCATCTTGGCCTGGGGCGTCTTCCACACGAGCGCGCCCGTGCAGTTCTCGCGGATGGCGCGGGGCACGCTGCCGCTGGCGCACCAGCTCTGCACGCACAGCCACACGGTGACGCCCAGGCCGTCGCCCACGTGGCGATGGCGGATGCACAGGTTGGTCAGCTTGCTCTTGCTGCCGCTGCTGCTCATCAGGCGCGTGCCCTGGCAGTCGTCAAACACCACGTGCAAGACACAGGGCGTGTCCTTGCTGTACCTGTACTTGGGTGGCTCCTCAGACTCCAGCAGGCCCAGCCGTTCGGCACGCATCAACAGCGCGGGCGGCAAGCTGGCCGCCTCGCCGCCCCGACGCATGGCGCGCTGCAGCTGCGCCCACACCTCCTTCTCCTCCTGGTACCTCTGCCACTCGCGCGCCTCCTCGTCCACCGCCGCCAGCACCGCGTCAATGGCGCCGTTGTCGGGCGAGTCGTGCTTGTCTGCATCTTTGACCCCCAGCTCATCCAGGTAGGCCTTGTTGGACTGGCAGGTGGGACTGAGCCAGAACACGCGGTCGCAGCAGCGGGCGCGCTTCATCTGGCGTAGCATGCTGGTGATCGCCACGCCCTTGCCCGCGCCCCTGTGGCCCGCCAAGATGAACAACCCGTGCAGCTTGGGCATGTCAGGGGGCGTCGGCACTGCGAACGCAGACTTGCCCTTGGGCAGCCAGGTGGGGTACTTGCCAATCGGCTCGTTTCTCATGTCTGACTCTTACCTGTAGCCCTGAATTTGCTGCATCACCATGGACATCAGCTCCTGGTTGACCTGCTGGGTCACGCGGCCGCGGGCCAGGTTGAGCACATCGGGCGCGCTGCTGCTGCTGCTGGCCTGCTGAAGCGGTGGCTGCTGCTGCGCGAGGTACTTCTGCAGCTTGGCGCGGATGTAGGCCTTCACCTCTGGGTCCAGCTTGTGCACCACAGGGGCGGCGGGCGCGGCAGGCGCCGGCGGCGGCGACGGCGGCGTCGGCTCCGGGCGCTTGGGGGGCTCGGCGCCCAGCTCCTGCAGGCGCTTGACGGCCTGCAGTGCGCGTTTCTCGGCCGCCTGCTTGGCCTTGGCGTCGCGCGCGCCCTTGGCCAGCTCGCGCCGGCGCTCCAGCAAGCGCGCCGCCTTCTCGCGCGCCATCTCTAGCCGGGCGTCATCGTGATCAGCGCCGGCGTCTGCGGGGTTCGCCGTGTCAACTACCTGGGGCTGACCGTCAGAGCTGTCCATGTGCTTTTGCTAAGCTAATGGATCAAAAAAGGCACGGGCCTGTGCTTGAGCACGGCGGCGGCGGGGATCTTCAGCGAGCCGTTGTTCGGCCAGATGGTGCTGGCGGGGTTGCCCTCCTTGCCTCCAGGCGCCATCCAGCGCCCGTGGGTGACGCCCAGGAAGTTGGCGGGCATCGTCCAGCGCGGCCGCGTGTACAGGGCGCAGAACTGCGAGCGGTCGGCGGCGGCGGCCAGGGGCGCCAAATATTCGGTCTTGCTTTTCAGGTCCAGCATCGCCTTGTCGGCGCGGGGCAGAGCGGGGTCCACCAGGGGGCCGTGGAGGCTGGGGCGGCGCGGGGCGAAGCCTGCGCTGTTCATGTTGGCTGCTTTCACGCCAGATTTAGGACGGTGGGCTGCCTGCTGAAGGTGACGCGGGCGACACGCGTCTCGGGCCCAACCACGCGGTACTTGACGCCCGTGCCCCTCGCCCCCAGGCTGAACTCCTTGGCGTGCACATGGCAGCAGTGCGGGCGCAGGGCCTGGCGCAGCACCGTCAGCGCCCGCTGCTCGTTCAGGGGAGTCTGGGTGTAGTGGCGCTTGCAGGGCATCCAGCACTCAGCCAGGCCTGCGTCCAGCAGCGCGCCCACGCGCGCGGCCGTGCCTAGGCGCCGCATGTCGTGCCTGGTGAACCAACGGGCGTCGGCCAGCGAGGTCAGGCCGAAGGCCTCCAGCAGGCGCTGCAGGTCGTCTCCCGTCATCAGCGCTCGGAACAGTTGGAAGTGCTGCATCCTTGCTTTGAGATCAGGCAATGACTTCCACCTGCTTGTACTGCCCCACGCGCGCGATCGCGGTGGTCTTGGCCACCAGCATCTTGCTGGCACGCGCGGCGCCCGCGACCTCGGTGACCCACTGGATTCCGGCGCTGTTGCCCAGGGTGTTGAGCCCAGACGCCAGGCGCAGCTCGGGCTCGGCGCCGGGGTACTCGAAGCTCACGGCGTGGGCGCAGCCCAGGGCCTGGTAGTTGGCCAGGCCGTCCAGCCACGGCGCGCTGCTGACGCCCTTGGTGGCGCGGTAGATGCCGAACGCGTCGGCGGTCTGGGCAAAGGCCTCAGGCGCGGTCGCGGGGTAGGTGGGGTAGCTGACGGCGCCCACCTGGAACTGGCTGCTGGCCAGGGAGGTGTTGGCGCCGGTGCCGTGCACGAAGTAGGCCGACTTGTAGTCCGGCTTTGCGTTGGCGTTGATGCGGGCCACCACGGCGTCCACGGCGGCGTTGGAGCCGCCCGTGCTGGGGATGTCTGTCCAGCTGCCGGGCGTGAAGGCGACGGGCGCGTAGTTGCTGGCGCTCACGGCCTGGGGGTCCATCCACACGCCGCACACGTAGTCCAGCGACTGGGTCGACAGGTTGAAGCCCAGGGTGTCCTGGGTGCCCGCCGGCGTGCCACCCAGGGTGGTGTAGTAGCGGTCGAACGGCAGCTCCAGGGGGTTTGACTGCATCAGCTTGGCGACGCCCGCCTCGTACACGCCGCCGTCGTCCAGCGCGATGCAGTCCACGTAGGCGGTGATGTTGGCGAAGTTGATGCCACACGTCACGGGCGCGGCGCCGGCGCCGATGAAGGCGCGGTTGGCCCCGGCCAGCTTCACGTAAACGCGCAGGGGCGCCAGCGACACGTCGATCACGCGTGGCTGCACGCTGCCCAGGAAGCCCAGCCAGGAGTTGAGGCTCATGCGCTCGGCCGCGTGGAAGCCGGTGGGGTTGCCGACCGTCTGGTTCTGCAGCGCGCGGCGCAGCGGGCGCTTGTCGGCGCCCAGCTTGTAGTCCATGAACAGCTGGTACAGCTGATTAGTCATGGCGCAGCCCGAGTCGATCATGTAGCCGTTGCTCTCCACGCTGATCTGCTCCACGGCGCTCTCGACGCCCTGCGCCAGGCGGCAGGTGGTCGCCGCGCCGCCGCCGTTGGTGGTGGTCAGGTCCCACGTCAGCTCCAGCGAGTCGAGCAACACGTGGCTGGCGGGCAGGTCAAAAGAGATGACGTCACCGGGCTGAGCGCTCGCCTGGTTCAGCGGGCGGATCTTGAACTTGTTCACCGACAGGCTCAGGCGGTTCAAGTAGTAGCGCAGCGACTTGGGGAGGGCGGCCATGGCTGCTGCAGCAGGCTTTCCTGTATGCTTGCACACCGCAAAATAAATCAACGGTCCCCCATGAACGCCTGGAAATCCAGCTCCTGCTCGTGCTCCTCCACGAGCCGGTCGGCGATCGCCTGCGCCCGCGCACGGCCCTCCTGCACCTGCTGCTCAAATGCAGGCGGCTCGCGCCCTTGCTGATGCTCGGCCACCAGCCTGTCAGCGACGGCCTGCGCCCGCGCGCGGCCCTCCCGCACCCGGCGCTCAAACTCTTGCGGCTCGCGGCCCTGCTGATGCGCAGCCACAAGCCTGTCGGCTACGGCCTGAGCCCGCGCGCGGCCCTCTTGCACCTGCTGCTCAAAGTCCGGCGGCGGGCCCACCCTCGCCCGCTGCTGGGCCCGCTGGTCGGCCCCCTCGACGGCAGGGCGGTCGCCCAGGTCCCTCGCCTGGCGCATCTGGGCGTCGCCCGCTGCGGGAGGCTCGGGCAGGGGCTGGTACCACTGCCTCGGCTGCAGGGCCAGGTGACGGGCCGCCGCGGGCTCGCCCAGCTGCGCCTGGGACGGGGGCTCCTCCACGATGCCGCCGCGGTCGACCCGGGGCGCCCGCGACGCTGCGTCGGAGGGCCCGGCGGCCGCCGCCGCCGCGGGCGCCAGGCGCAGCCTCTGCAGCTCACCTGCCAGATCATCGGCCGAGCTGCTGTCGGCCATGCTGGCCGCGGGCGAGGGCGAGGGCGGCTGCGACGGCCGGTGAGCCGGCTGGGCGGTGGACACGGACATGACGCTGGGCGCCCGGGAGGGCGGCCGAGCGGGCGGCGCGGAGGGGGGCTCGTCCGGCGGGGCGTCGGGCCCCACGCCCACGCTGCGGGAGTCTGGCGGCGGCCGCCGGGTCTCCTTCACGTACACGACAGCGGCGTCGCGCGCGCTGCCCTGGCTCAGCTGCCAAGGCATCAAGGGAGGGTAGGCAAAGGCGGCCGCCGAGGGGCTGGCGGCGGGGCGCGCCGCGGTCTGGCGCACGCTCACGTTGACCGCGACTGCGGACCCCTTGGTCTTTGCCGTGGCCGCAGCACCTGGCTTGGCCTTGGCTTTCTGTTTCCTCTTCGCCGGCATGCTTGCTTTACCTACGCGCGGGCAAAAAGTCAAGGCGCCCTGTCTGGCACGCCGGCGTCAAAAAGTCTGGGCGCCGAGAGTGCCACGTCAGCTTGTGACGTCACGGTGACGCCACGTCAGCTTCCTCCACGTCGCCCGTGAGCATGCCGTGATCCGGCCGCGCCGCCCAGTGGATCTCCAGCCTGCAGGGCGGCTCGTAAGCGCGCCTGCCCGGGGCGGGCGTCATCGGCCGCGCGTACTCCAGGGTGAAGCTGTCCAGCTCCTTGCGCGTCACCGAAAAGTGCTGCCCCTTGTTCAACGGCCCCACGACGGTGGCCTGCAGCCAATAATTGCCGGGCATCCACACCGACAGCGGCACGGTGATGGAGAAGCGCGGCATGAACCACCGCTGCGGCTCGATCGTCTCGACGTGGATCCCAAAGAATTCGCGGCGGGGCGGCATGATTGGCGGTGATATCATAAGCAGCATTTTTAATTGTAGCTTGTCACCACCCAGCTGCCTCGGATCGCCGTGATCTGGGTCAGGTTGGCATCGTACTCCGAGAACAAGCGCAGGGCGTTGATGCGGGATGCAGGGCCGGTGATGCGCGCGCTGGCGAGGCCGCGCCAGGGGTAGTAGCCGGGAATGTAGCCGGCCGTTTCGCACTGGATGATGTTTGAGCCGCTGGTGAGCGCGGAGATCAGCATCTTGCTGTTGCAGGGGTTGCCCACATCCATAGGGTACTTGTGGCGGAACCGGCTGTAGTTGCTGGTGGTCACGTACTCGGGCGCGTTGGCGACCACGCCGTACGCGATCTCGTAGCCGTAGTAGCCGGTGGCGAGGGCCGTGGTGCCGCCGTCCGTGTACACCTGCCAAGCGGGCCGCACGCTGCCCTGGCCCTGCAGGTTGGAGCACGTCATCGTCCAGCGGACCTCGTGCATGCCGTAGTTGCTGTTGAGCGGGATGACGACCGGCCCGCTGCCAAAGGTGCCCTGAGCCACGTTGCTGGGCGCCCCGCCGCCGCCGCCGCTGATTGAGAAAGCTTGGTTGCTGGCGGCCACCGCCGTGTTGCTGGAGAACCCGATCTGGGCCGTGGGCACCGCCGGGATGGCGTTGGACGCCCAAGCCGCGCTGGCCAGAGCCGCGTAGGCGGTGTTGCTGGCCGCCCAGGCGCCGTCCGCGCCGGTCAAACCCTGCACGCCCTGGGCGCCCTGCGCGCCCTGGGGCCCCTGCGGCCCGGCCGCGCCCTGAGGCCCCGTGGCCCCCGCCGGGCCCTGCACTCCTTGGCTGCCCGCGGGGCCGCCCAGCATGTGCACCACCACGTCCACGGGGCCCGCCGACGGTGCCCCGCTGTAGAAGGTCGCGCCCTGCAGCTTGAACTGGGTCCCTGCTGTCATGTAGACCAGGTTGGCGACCTGCGTGTGGTTGGTGCGGTAGTAGTCGGTGCTGCCGTTGGGCTTGAAGTCGCGGCACACAAAGCCGTGCTGCAGCAGCACGTTGCTGGGCGTCATCGTCCCCGAGACCTGTGTAGCTCGCACCTTGACCTCGACGTTGGACCCGCCCACGGTGACTGCAAAGCGGTAGCACCCCGTGTACGGGGCCGTGAGGTTGCTGCAGGGCAGGTTGGATGCAAACAGGCTGCCAGGGTCCAGCACACGCGTGTCCATTGAGAGATCCGTCCAATCGTACGGCAAACCCACGTCCTGGGTCTTGTACCAGCCCGCCACGGGCACGAAGCCGGCTGCGCCGCCACTCGCTGACACCCCAGCGCTGCTGAGAAAAGGCAGTTGGTTGGAACACCAGGTGCTGACGTTGCTGCCGTAGATGATCGCGGGGACGTACCCGTTGAGCTCTCCCAGCGCCGCGTTGGCCGTCACCACCGCCGCAGCGGCGTTGGTCTGCGCCGCCTGGATCTCGGCGTCAAACGTCACGACAGCGTTCGAAGCGGACGCGGCGATGCCGTAAGCTGATTGGGCCAGGTTGCAGGCAGCCTCCGCGGTGGCGCTGGCGGCGTAGGCTTGGTTGCTGGCGGTGGATGCCAGGGAGTGAGCGGAGGCGGCCGCGGCCCCCGCCGCCACGGCCGTCGCGTTTGCAGTGCCGGCCGCGAGCAGCGCGGCGTCTGCCGTGCCCTGCGCCGCGCCCGCCGCCAGGTCCGCGGCCGCCGCGGCGCTCGCCGCCAGGTCGGCCGTCTCCTGGGCGCCCGCGGCCGCCTCTCGTGCAGCCTCGGCGGCCGATCGGGCGTTCACCGCTGCGTTGCTGCCCCAGGCGGCTGTATTGCTGCCCCAGGCGGCTGTATTGCTGCCCCACGCGGCGGCGTTGCTGCCCCACGCGGCGGTGGCTTGGCAGTCGACCACTGCATTGGAAGCCCAGCGGGCGGTGTCGTCGGTCATTACCACCTGGTTGGAGGCCCACCCGGCCGTGTTGCTGCTCCAGAACGCCACATTGCTCACGGCCACGACCTGATTGGAAGCCCACTGCCCCCCCTGAGCCGGCCAGAGGTTGTTGGAGCACCACACGCTCAGGTTGCTGGAGAACACGACGCCGTTGCTGGTCCACTCAACCGTGTCCTGCAGCTCCTCAAAGTTGGGCTGGCGCCACCACGACACGGGGTTGCCGTTGTATGCGAATGCCATCGTCCTTACAAGTAAGCACAGGGCAGTCCGCCCGGAGACACACCCAAACCCTCGCGGGGCAGCAGCGCGCCAGCAGCGCGCGCTCCCCGCACATGGGCAAGGCCCCTTGGCAGCGGCAGGCGGGGCAGTCGTACACCGCCTCCAGGCCGTTGCGGAGCAGGCGTGCGCGCTGCGCCGCCACCACTTGGTCCCCCTCCCGCCACAGCCACGCTCGCGAGGGGTGCAGGAAAGGCGCCAAAGGCTCCATTACTCTTCACTCGGGTTTTGAGATGCGCCAATGGCCGTGCGGCAGCGAAGTGACGCCGTCGTCCAGCCAGTGGCGTTTGTCCTCGAAACCGCTGAACACCACCCTGCCCTTGGTCTCCAGCAGGTACATCTGCAGCCGGTGGCTGCCCAGCTGCGCCACGTTGCGCTTCAGCTGCAGCTTGGCCTGCGCCTCGTTGCCGGCGTCTGAGTCCTCCTCGTACAGCTCCCGCAGCGTCTTGCCGCTGCCGAACAGCGCGTTGCATGCCTCCAGCACCTGGGCGTAGTCCGCCTCAAACACTTCGCGCTTCAGCACGTCCCTGGGCGTGCCCTTGGCCTTGCTCTTGACCACGCCGCCCTGCAGCCGCATCGTGTAGGCCTTGGGGCGCAGCGCCGTGAACTCCAGGATGATGTTGTCGTACAGCCCCGGCGCGGGCTTGTCCCTCTCCGCCCAGGCGTCGGCCGTCTCGTCGCTGAACTTGCCTTGGACCTTCTTGTTGGTGGGGTCGTAAAACTCGGGCATCGTGCGTCCAAGGCCGCTCAGGTCCAAGTGCTCCCTGAGCGCGTACATGTCAGCGTACGCGTCGCCCCGCTGGGCCAGGGGCAGCCCCGCGTCGTCGTACGTGATCTCGTACACCAAGCTGTCCGTGTCCGTGTAGGCCAGCTTGATGCTGGGGGGCGCGCGGTCGCCGCCGCCCCTGCCGAACTGCCCCAGCATCACCTCGTAGTGGAAGCGCTGCATGTGCAGCTTGCTTAGCTCCAACACGGACACACCGGCCGCCGTCAGGGTGCCCACGTTGGCCTGGGTCTGCCTCAGCAGCACCCCCTCCAAATCCTCGTTAATCGCGAAGCTGCCCTGGAACTCTGGCAGCTTCATGAGCTTGCCCAGCTGGTCCTGCCGCCAACACACTGTGTGGTTGGGGCGGTTGAGCACGTCCATCATCAGGCGCCCGTACAGCGCGTTGTTCAGCAGCTTGTACAGCGCCACCAGCCGCTCGTTGCCCGCCTTGGACGCCGCGATGCGCTTCTGGGTGATGTCCTCGATGTAGCCGGCCAGCCAGGGCGACTGGTCGAATTCCAGGACGTTGGTGACGCCCACGACCCGGTAGCCCTGCTGCAGCAGGAACTGCAGGTTGCGGTGGTGCAGCACGTAGTCGTGCTTGTCCTCGAGATCCAGCAGCAGCTTCTTCACGCTCGGGCAGCCGGGCGAGCGCAGGGCCTCGCTGAACGGCGACAGCATTTGGGGCGGCAGCTTGACCTCCGGCGCCAGGGGGTAATCGCCCATGCGGTCGTGGTGCTCCGACGGCAGCCAGATGCGCTTCACCTGCACGAAGCAGCCCCTGGGGCTATTGTCTGTGTACCGCGCCAAAAACGCCTCCAGGTCGCCCACTTCGCCACCGTCGATCATCTTGTAGTTGCCGGTCGGCAGCGCCTGGCACATGGCCCAGCTGTACAGCCCATTGGCGTCCACGTACAGGATGTACCGGCTTGGCTTGGACGGGTCGAAGCCAGCCCTCATGTACTTGTTGTTGGCCCGCAGCCGCCGCATGTTGACCACGCAGATGCCGCCGCGCTTGACGCGCATCGCCATGTCCAGCATCTCCTTGTGTGTGAAGGCCTCCAGCCTCACGTTGGGCTGCCGCCGCTCCACGTGCCTCAGGGCCGCCGCGTACGACAGGCCCGGCAGGCCGTAGAACCAGTAGGGGTCCAGCCCCAGGTCGTCGTCCGCCATCACGCTGCGCCTGAAGTTGTTCATGCAGTCCCCCAGCTGGTGCACGTCCAAGGACAGGTAGAGGTTGTGATAGTCCCGGAACGTGCGCATGCCAAACGTCTCCCACACTTCCTTGGCGTGCGCCCAGTCCTCCTCTGCGTCCGCCTTGTCCTTTTCAATGACGTCGGCCACCCGCACGTCGTCCCCGTTCTTCACGCCGCACAGCCGGTTCTGCTGCAGCTGCTCCACAGAAAACAGCTGGGGGCTGCTCCAGCGCTGGGGGTCGCTCCACTCGTAGGGGTAGACGCCCTTGCGCGCGGCCAGCTCCACCGCCCGCTCCAGCCGCGCGGGCTCCAGGCTGGCGCCAAAGCGCTGCCGCATCCAGTCCTCCACCATCGCGGACGTCAGCGGCAAGTTCTTGCGCACCCCGCCGGGCGCCTCCCTCAGCTCCTTGGTCACCTGCTCCAGGCTGCCCTGCAGGAACTGGCAGGAGTCCAGGAAGCGCAGCGTGGGGCCGTTGCCGCGCTTGTAGTCGATGGAAATGATCTTCTCAGAGTTGGCCATGATGACGCGGATCTTGTCCTGGCAGTTGCGCCGCCGCAGCCCCTTGGCCAGCAGCTTGAAGTCGTAGCCTCGCCCGTTGTGGAACAGCACCGGCACGTGGCAGCCCTTGCTGGTGTACCTGCGGTTGCAGCAGTTGTGCGCCGCGCCCCGGTAGGCGCCCGTCTCGTGGTCGTGGTCGCGCACCTTGGCCCACTCCTGCTTGTGGAACATGAGCCCGGCGCCGGGGTGCTCCGCTGCAAACACCTTCCTGGCGGCCAGGGTCTGCACCGGCTGTGCCAGCCAGAGCGCGTGCAGCCGGCGCTCCTCCTCGGTCAGCGTCGCGAAGCCGCGGTGCATGCGCCCCCTGCAGATGTGGCACTCCTTGGCGTTCGCATGGGCGGCCCGGGGCACGGTGGCAGGGTCCAGGGGCTTCAGGGACGCCCGCCAGCGCTCCTCCATCGCGACGGCCGCGTCGTAGCAGGCGTCCATCAGCGCCATCACGCACGCCTCGCCGCTGGTGCCCTCCGCCGGCTCGAAGCTGGTGACCAGGTCTGACAGCTTGTTGCCCTTGTTGTCCAGCGGCAGGATCCTCCAGCTGTTTGGGTCATGCTGGAACACGCGGTTGGTCTTGGGCTCCTGTTCAGGCGCCGCGCCGGCACCGGCGCTGCCGGCCATTTCCTCGTTGGTCGCCTCGGTATCGCTTATGATTGAGCCAATCACGGGCAGCTGTTTGTGGTAGTTCATCCCTCTCTGCATGGCCTCGCGCCCGAACGTCACGAACCGCTCCTGACTGTTGGGCTTGGGGAGGTTGACGCGCGTGCTGCAGCCGTGCTCGCTGTGCAGCAGCTCGTGGTTGGCGTAGGAGCGCTTTGCGTATGGCTCGTTGCAGATGGGGCAGATGGTGCAGCTGTTGTGGTTGGGCCTGCCGGCCAGCGCCAGGCAGGTGCCGCTGTGGTTCTTCCACAGCACGTAGTGGTTGGCGTCGTCGTCGCTGCCCGCACGGTTGCGGTCGCCGATCATCAGCACCCTCACCACAGTCTTGCCCTCGCGCTCCTTTTGGGTCGGCTGGGAGACGTGCAGAGGCACGATGCGCACGCCTGCTGGCCGGTCGGGCGGTGCCTCTGCCTCTGCCTCGGCCTCGGCCTCGGCCTCGGCCTCCGTCTCTGCCTCTAAGTCAGACTCCACCTCGGAGTCCTCAACGGCCTGCTCCCGCTCCCGCCAGTGGTACACGTCCACCACGTAGCGGGGGTTGCGCCTCTGGAACGTCGCCCAGTCGCGCTCGGTCATGGGGAAGCCGACGCCCGTCCAGTCAAAGGGGTCCCCCACCTCGCGCGCCAGGAGGTCGTAGGTCTCAGCCTGCGACACCTTGTCCGCCATCAACATGCCGTGCTGGCGCAGCAGCCCATACACCTTTGCGTGCAACGCCGTGCACAGGGGGTCTTGGGGGTTGCGGTACCGCATCTTGTGCTTGCTCTTCAGCACGTCGTGGACGGCCTTGTGGTAAGCGTGCGCCAGCATGACGTAACGCCCGCACTGCTGGCCGGTGCCGCGCACGTTGACCACGGCGCGGTGCCGCTTCAAGAACGCGGGCGTCTCCATGTCGCGCCCGCCCGCCACCAGCGCGCCGTCGTAAGCCCGCGCGCCGACGCGGTTGATGCGCAGCAGCTTCCAGCCCGACTCGCGGTGCTCCGTCTCCTCCATGTCCGTCAGCGCCGCCTCGGACGCCTTGGCCCAGAAACCGTCCAAGCCCTCGGCCTGGGCCACGTTGGTGAGCTCCTTGTTCTTGGCCGCAACTGGGTGGATCCTCACAGCCAGGCGGCGCTTGGTCGCCAAGTACCAGACCGCCTCCACGTAGGCCGCGCCCCTGAAAGGCACACGCTGCGCCAGCTTGGGCTTGATCGCCTGCCAGGCATCGCGCATGCGGCTCTCCACGTCCACGTCGCGCACCTTCAGCAGCGCCCCCTTGTAATCGCCGCCCGGCTCGTACGTGATGCCTTCCAGATCTGCGTGCCACCGCTCCTCGACGTCCGCGTATTTGTCCCAGCGATGGGTGAGCTTGATGCGACTACTGGTGGGGGTGGCCTTGCTGCTGCTGATGCTGGACCCTGCCTCCTCGCCCGCGGCGCGGCTGCGCTCAGCCGCCACCGCTCTCGCACGGGACTCGGCGTCCGACTGCGCGCGCTTTTGCTTGATCGCTGCCCAACCGTTGCGCGCCATCCTGTTGTGGGGTCCGAAAATGTTTTTTGGGTATGATACGCACATGGCGCGCGGCCCTTAAGCGCCCGCCGCCCCGCTGGCCAGCGCGTCCAGCAGCGCCGGCGGCAGCGCCCCTTTGGACCAGCGGCTGCTCGCTTTGTGCTGCCTGTACTGCGCGGCCAGCGCCTCGTCTTTGGGCCAGCTGTTTGAGAGCCGCACTATGTGCATGCCGTCTTTGCACGAGGCGCAGGTGCGTGGGTTGCAGCGCAGCGGCTCAAACCCCCCCGCGTTGGTCCAGATGCAGGTGCGCTTGCGCCAGGGGCTGCCGTACTGGCAATAATCCACCACACGCATGTTTGGCTGCAGGGGCTGCATCAGTGGTCTGTGCATCAGCAAGCCCTGGGGGTTTTCGAGCGTCCAGAGCCGCGGCTGCAGGTAATCAATTATATCCAAGCCCCTTTGCACCAGCCTGTCTGCCCCTTCTAGATCCCTGGGGCCCCCCGTGGTGCGCGCGCGGCTGTACATGGTGCAGGGCGGGCTGGCGTGCACCCAATCAAACGCCCCAGGCTGCCAGGCCGCACGGTAATCGAACTGCAGTATGTCTGTCATGTGCGTGGGATTGAACCGCCCCACACCGCGGATGTCGAGTGAGGTCACCTCGTACCGCACCGCCGACTGCGTCGCGTTTTGGCTGGCCGCCCAGTGGCTGATCGACCCCGTCCCGCTGAACAGTTCCAGAACTTTCAGAACAGATGACATATTTACACGTTTCTCTAAGGGACGAAAGGAAAACGAAAGAGGCAACACACCAAAAGAAAAGGGCAAGCAGCTGCACCACCGCTCAGCGCCGGCTGGCCGCCTTGTCCGGCGTGATGGGCGCGGCCGGCCCCTGCAGGAGCTCGATCGCGGCCTTGAAGGTGGTGGTGAGCACGTCGCGCGCGGTCTCCTCTGTGATCTTAAACCCCTCGTCAACTCGCACGCACAGAGCCTCATTGGCCGTGTCGCAGCAAACGCGTGTGTTGTCCTTGAACGGGGCGATGATGAGCGACGGCAGGTAACTCGCAAACAGCGCCGCCCTCATCTCGCGGTTGGGGATGTTGGCGACGATGCGCATCTTGATGCCGACGTCGCTGATGTAGAGCCACTTGCCGGTGGTGCCGTCAATCACGCACGCCGCCCCCACGCCAAAAAGCAGCTGCGCAGTGGGCGCCGGCAGCGCTGAGGCCATGGCCTCGTAGTGCTCAACGCCCATGCTGATGATCGCGATGGTGGGCGCACGCAGCCGCTCCGCCACGTCCCGCAGGCGGGCCGCCTCGTCCCGCAGGCGGGCCACCTCCATCTCCAGGCGGGCCACCTCCATCTCCAGCTTCTCGAACTCCTCGGGGTTGACGGCGGGCGGATAGAGCCCATCAATGTCCACGTCGGTGTCCGCGTCGGTGTCCGCGGCCGTGTCGGCGTCGCGCTTCCCGGTACCACTGCTGGTCACGATGCCCTGTGTTGGCGAGGCGGTCGCGGTGGAGCGATGAGGCAATGGGCTCGTTTACCGCGGGCGGGTAACCCGGAGCGGTGGCGCGCGTTTCCCGCGGGCGGGAAACACGGAGCGGCACACAAGCGGCAGCGGCGCGTTTCCCGCGGGCGGGAAACCCGGAGCGGCAGCGGCGCGTTTCCCGCGAGCGGGAAACACGGAGCGGCACACGAGCGGCAGCGGCGCGTTTCCCGCGGGCGGGAAACCCGGAGCGGTGGCGGCGCGTTTCCCGCGGGCGGGAAACCCGGAGCGGCAGCGGCGCGTTTCCCGCGGGCGGGAAACACGGAGCGGCAAGCAAGCAGCAAAAGATGCAACTCTCCTCACTCACCAGCTGCTCCTTCCAACCCTTGGCGTACTCGCGCACGAGCGTCTCCTCGGGCTTGTCGAGGACGTTGCGCTTGAGGTCCTGGATCACATCGCGCGCGCCGTCCGCGAACTTGGCGGCGCCGACCTTCCCCTTGTTAAGGTGGGAGTGGATGGTGCTGAGGTGCTCCGCCGCCCTGAGCGAGATGAGGTGCTTCTTCTCCCCGGCCGCGGGCTCGGGCTGCGCGTTGAGGACGGCCTCCACAACCACCAGCTTGCGGAACGTGTTGAGGAGCGTCTTGGGGGAGGTGTTGAGGTGCTTGGCCTCGTGCATCTGTGTGGCGAAGTTGGTGAACGAGGCGTAGCCCGTACGCTCCTGCAGCATCTTCTTGCCGCCGGGGGTCGTGGAGGTCTTGTAGATCAGGTACGGCCGTGACTGGTGGGCAAGGAGTGTGAGGCCGTGCACATGGTGAGGGGTAGGGATTGCGCAGGTTCATCATTGCTGCACAAACGGGACGTGCGCGTGTGCAGGCGTGAGAGAGCCCGCCCCGCGGGTGGAGCGCTTGCGGTTGCGCAAACACCCACCAGCATCATGTCCTCGAGGCCCTCCTTGCTCTTCCGCTCATCGGCGGCGAACAGGTTGTCCATCTCCTCGCAGATCGACTTGCCCGCATTGAGCTGCTGGGTGGTGGGCTTGGCCTGCTGCGCATGCGTCTTGCCGGCGCGCGGTGCGGGGGCGGACGTGGACGCCATCCTGCGGGAGAGAGGAGGGCGTGCGGCGCTTGTTCTCGTGCATGGATGCGATGCATATCGTGGGCGCCGCTGCTGCGTGTAAGGGGCGCGGCGTCGCTGCGGCCAGCTCGGCGCAGCAGTGCAGCAGCGAGTCAGCGCGGCCGGGCGTGCCCCACCCAGGAGCCGGCGCTGCAGAGCGCGAGCGCAAATCTTCTAATTCTTCGTAAAAGACCCTCTGATGCCGCTGTAAGACGCCGGCAGGCCCCCACCTGACTCCGGAGGACGTGCAAGGACCGTGCAGCCGGTGGGTAGCTCCAAACGGGACTCTCGACGGCGCAGAATATATTTAAAAGCGTATATGTCCTATTGGGTCGCAGTCCAGAGGCTTCCTTTGGCGAATGCTTGTGATGCTCTACCGAGATCGCTCAGACGGGCTCCGGG